GATAATTATGGAAAAATAATGGGATCAAAGTGATAAAAATTGACCAAGTTATGATCAGTTGAAGTCACACATGGAAAAATGGGGGTTAATCTGGAGGACTTCTAATATTTCTTCCTCATCAAGTTTCTTCCACGTGAAAACTCCTTGGAACTTTTGAAGTGATTTATTAACAACCCTTTAAAGAGAAGGATACCTTTGGAATAACTTAAAAATACCAAAATATGAGCAAGATATACTCCTTTGAAGTTCAAAACCCTAGCTCCTAGAGCAGGAAAATGCTTTGAGGAACTTTGGCAATTTTGAACAACCTTCTTGTACCAAAACTTTTGCTTTGTAGATAGAATTTGTTGAGGATGATAATGAAAACTCATAGCAACCAAAACCACTTCCATATCTTGAGAATTGAGAGAAATATGCACTTGTGACCAGTGGGAACAAAGACTTGTCCAAACATGACAACTTCTTCAATCAACCCATTGTAGTTTTGAATCAAACTTGATAACCTTGAAATGTGGTGAACCAAAATAACCTTGCCTTTCCATTTCTTCCAAAAAAAATCCAATGGTGAGGTTTGAACTTCTCAAGCTTTATTGACTAGGGCATGGAAATAAACTCAGTAACCCATGGAGCAGCTTGCTAAATCCCATTGCCTTTACCTACATTAGTAACAAGCACGACAAACCAACATTGAATTTTATTAATTAAAAGGAAAAATCAAGAAAAATATTCATGATCACAAAAGAAAACAAGTCAAGGTGCTTGGTGATTCCCTAAAGGGGAAAGCTAAAGGTGGGGAGGAGAATCAAGAACCCTGATGTGGTCTTGTTGTGATTGAATCAATATGGTATGATGAAGGGATATTAGGGGCAAAAATTGGGGTACAACAGCTGCCCTTATTTAAGTTTCTTCTATATGGAGATACGAAGGTTAAAAATCATCGTGTCGACACGATCGAAGATACTTAAATATAAAACAAACCCTATTTTTAGCCCTAAGATGCCATGAAATGCTTATGAATATGAGTGCACATGGACAACTCCAAAGGGACGCAAAACACTATTGGGGATGTAACAAAATAAATAAAAAAGAGAGCAACCTAACCAGGAAAATAAATCACTGGTGGATCAAAAGACCCGAATTAGAGAGGATGGTAAAATGGTCAAAGGATACACCAACTTCTACTGAAGGAGAAGCAACCAACGTTCACTGAAGGTAGAAATAGAAAAGAAATAACAACACCGACGTTCACTGACGGTGAGCTACCAATGTTTATTAAAGGTAGAGAGAAAAAATCATCGACGTTCACTGACGATGAACTACCAACTTTCACTGAAGGTAGACAGAAAAGAAAATATCATAACACTGCCGTTCATTGACAATGAACTACCAACGTTCGCTAAAGGTAGCAAAAAGATAACAATCACCAACTTTCACTAAAGGTGATCTACCAACTTTCACTGAAGGTAGAAAGAGAAAATATCGTAGCATCGCCGTTCACTGATGATGAACTACCAACATTCACTGAGGGTAGAAAAAAGATAACAATCACCAACTTTCACTGAAGGTGATCTACCAACTTTCACTGAAGGTAGAAAGTGAAAATATCATAGCATCATTGTTCACTGGCGATGAACTACCAACATTCACTGAGGGTAGAAAAAAGATAACAATCATCGAAGTTCACTGCCGAAGACCAACCAACTTTCACTTAAAGTAGAAGAGAAAATATATCATAGCACCTCCGTTCACTGACGATGAACTACCAACGTTCACTGAGGGTAGCAAAAAGATAACAATCATCGACTTTCACTGCCGAAGACCTACCAACTTTCACTGAAGGTAGAAGAGAAAATATGTCATAGAATATTCGTTCACTGACGATGAACTACCAATGTTCACTGAGGGTAGCAAAAAGATAACAAGCACCAACTTTCACTGAAGGTGACCTACCAACTTTCACTGAAGGTAGAAAGAGAAAATATCATAGCACCGCCGTTAATTAACGATGAACTACAAACGTTCACTGAGGGTAGCAAAAAGATAATAATCATCGATGTTCACTATCGAAGACCTACCAACTTTCACCGAAGGTAGAAGAGAAAATATATCATAGCATTGCCGTTCACTGGCGATGAACTACCAACATTCACTGAGGGTAACAAAAAGATGAAAATCATCGACGTTCAATGCCGAAGACCTACCAACTTTCACTGAAGGTAGAAGAAAAAATATATCATAGCATCGTCGTTCACTGACGATGAACTACCAACGTTCACTGAGGGTAGCAAAATGATAACAAGTTTTCCCCAAAATTCTGGAATTTCACCTAGAACAGGTTTTAACTTCTTCTTTAACCAAGGCACTCCTCCTGGAAAGGGTAATACATAAGTTGTCTCAAATAAAGAGACTACCACTTATAAAGATTTCACAATGAACTGTCTCCACGATATTGAACGAATGGCCATCCATTGGAGTAGTTTGACAACGAACTGCAAAATAACCACTCATAGAGAAGATAGCAAAAAAAGTAACATCGACATTTACAGGGAAGTACAAGTTGCTCAAATAAAGAGACCGGCTACTTGCTGTTATAGGAAGGATTGTAAAAATGACTTTCTGGGGAAAGCAATATGGCTTCCTAGGGAAAGAAATATGACTTCCTGGGGAAAGAAATATGACTTCCTGGGGAAAGAAATATGACTTCCTGGAGAAATAAATATGACTTCCTGGGGAATGAATCATATTCCTGCTGAGGAGATAAAAGTTTTCTCGTGCCAAAATAAATGCACATTCTAAAACCAATGCTCGAAGTCCACAGAAATCTAAAGTAATAATATTGCTGGGAAACAAAGATTCAAACCAAAAATAAACTAGAGTGAAACAGTCAACCAAAATACATCCTTTGAGAAATAAACTCAAAAGGGAAACCCAATCTATTCAGACAAAGAGTTGTACCCGAAATCTAAAGCAAAAATCTTCCACAAGGGATAACTCAGTGGAAAAATTGAAAGAATATACACTTTCTGCTTAAGGCCGACACTCTATTGGAGAGAGGACAACGTAACTCTGCAAAATAGGGTAATATGTAAACAAAAAATTAATGAATGTGAATTAGCAATGATTTGCTAAATTTAACTATGCATGATGTATGTATGAATGTATGAGTGTTATCAGGTATATGCTGACAAAACAGACATATAACACTGGGAGTAAACAGGCCAAACTGTTGTACCCCAATTTTTGACCTAAGATCCCATTTTTATTTTTGCATTTTTAAACATGAGTCAAGGTCACGAAATACGGTCGGTTTTAACCTCTCACCTTCGAGCTTTGACTATGTGAAGATTGTCAAGTGTTTTGAACATTTTTAGCCTATGTATCACTAATTTCTAATCGCATACAAAGGTGTATGTTCATGTTTTCTTTTGCTTCATGTGCAGAGACAGGTCTGAATCAAGAGCATCAGGTGTCACGCCTCAATTGAGGTTTTAAGTCTCTCAAGCCAGAAGTACGGTTGATTGTGGATTCTCGAAGACTGATTCATCAAGGCACAACTGTTGCACCCTAAATTTCGCCCCTAATTTTTTCAGTCGCACATTCATACCATATTTTGTCATTTGGTCACAGTCATTAGTAAATATCTTCATTCATCGCATTTTGCATCATTAGTCGTATTTAAGTTGACCAGAAAAAGTCAGTTTAAATCAAAGTTTGCATCGTCTTTCAGTTGTAAAATACCCGACATTTCATTTCATTCATTTTTATCTGTTTACTATTTTCTTGCACTGCTCCAAGTTGTTTATATGTCGATAATAAAATATTTCAGTGTTATAGACAAACTGTTAAAAGCAATTCGACAATATGCGGGAAAGTAGCGAGAAAATATTTCAAGTTTTCACCTTTTACCGATCATTTTATGAATCTGCGCTTCGCGTAGATTATGACGGTATGCTCGCTTTATTTTTTCGGTACAGTTCGAAGTCTCGTTTTTAACCTTAAATGTCTGTTTAGTTTGATATTTTATTATTATTTTATTTTTGATTTTTGACTTCTTGAATATTTTTTCTTTAATTTTTGTGACATGCAGATTATTTTAATGTGTTCATTTTATTTTTTCGGATAAATTTTCGTCCGTTTTTTATCATTTTTCGGTCATTTTGGGTCTTTATTTTTTATTCATAAAATATTCAAAAAAAAATCTTTTTTAATTGAGTTAATTTTAATACATTTAGTTTTTTGGTTATTTTTATCATTTAAGGACTATTTGATCACAAAATATATTATTCACACAATACTCTATTCCTATTGGCTGTTGGATGAAATTGAGGATCGATACACACACAATACTCTATTCTTATTGGCTGTTGGATGAAATTGAAGATTGATACAAAATCACCAAAACACAACTCACTTTCAATACACAGTAACCTCTCTCTCCAAAAACAACAACAATATTTTATCTTCATTTTCTAGTCCCACAATAAGACATCACAAACTAGTTCACCAAAGAAAAAAACCAAAAAAAACAAAAACATCTCAAACTGACGCTTTCTCTCTTTGGTTGAAACACGTAAAACATAAACATAAAGACTTGTTTTGTTTCTTATTAAAAAAAAATGGCATGGATTATCACAACCAACATCTTTCAAAAGAGATGCCAATCCACCATTTTCACAGACCAATCTAACAACAACACTTTTCGTTCCATTTTACCAGACTCCCCCCGACCCTAACTCCAAACATGATTCCGACCCAAACCAACTCCATACCACCAACAAACTCACATCCTGTGACCGTAAGCCATAACCATGTTCCTCCTCACGCCCCGCTTCTGTTTCTCAACACCAAACGATAATCAACTGCTTCTACAGTAATTCCTTCCATTCAAATCTCAATCAAAACATTATCACCTCCATTTCTTTTCTCTTTGTTACAAGGAGAAGAGATCTGCTTTCATCTTCTTCTTCCCAAATCGCTCTTTTCATCAAGAATAGTTGAAAATGGGATTGTCTTTCACGAAGCTGTTCAGTCGGCTGTTTGCCAAGAAAGAGATGCGTATACTTATGGTAGGTCTCGATGCGGATGGTAAGACCACCATTCTTTATAAACTCAAGCTTGGAGAGATAGTCACCAACATTCCTACAATCGGGTTCAATGTGGAAACAGTTGAATATAAGAATATCAGCTTCACTGTCTAGGATGTCGGGGGTCAAGACAAGATCCGTCATCTGTGGAGACATTACTTCCAAAATACACAAGGCCTTATTTTTATGGTTGACAACAACGACAGGGATCATGTTGCTGAAGCTAGAGATGAGCTGCATAGGATGTTGAATGAGGATGAATTGAGAGATGTCGTGCTTCTAGTTTTTGCAAACAAACAAGATCTTCCAGATGCTATGAATGCTGCTGAGATAACTGATAAGGTTGGTCTTCATTCTCTTCGTCAGCGTCACTGGTACATCCAGAGCACACGCGCTACATCTGGTGAAGGACTTGATGAAGGACTTGACTGGCTCTCAAACAACATTGCAAACAAGGCATAGAGATTTATTAGTTAAAGGTGCAAGAAGCTGAGTTAACTTTTGGCGATCATGATTTCCAGCATCTGTTCTCTCCAACTCGCGAGGACCGCCCATCAACAACAACCACTCCATCAAACAGCAGCAAACCCCTTCAATCTTCACCGTCACAACCCACCTGCATCCGCCTTACTATCAACCGCCACGAGATCTAAATTCGGCACATTTGTGCGCTGACCATCGGTGACCATTCATCACCAACAACTGCCGGTTTGAACCGCCAGCTTCTCCGCTCAACACAGCTGTGGAATCTTGTCGTTAGATCTCCCTCTGCGCGTCGCTGTTCAAGCTGTAACCACCAACGGTCAGATTTTTACCTTGTTATGTTTTTATATTGTTGTTTGGTTTTTGGGGTGTGGGTTATGTTTAAAGAGTGAAGTTTGTTTGAAATAATGAAGAAGAAATAAGAAGGAGAAATAAGTGTTATATTGTCGGTAAATTGTTTTCTTTGGCCTTTTGAGCACTTTTTATTTTCTAGCCAGTGTAGTTATTAGGATGCCGTGACATGTCAATCCATTTTGCCTATGGCCAACATTAAGATTTACAAACACTATGGTTAATGTATTATTTATGTATCCCTTGTTATTATTATTGGTGTTGCTTGTTGTGGTTTATGTGACTTTTATTGTTGCTGAACATTTAATTTTGATAGTAAAAATAGAAAAAACATGATATAAAAAAAATGATTGAAAAGAGAGTAGACATTAGATTTTAAATTTAGAAATAGTAATGTTTTATCTTTTTTGTCATTTATATTACTTTAGTATATTATGTAATGTGTAATTAATTTGTTGGTTTGTAAATAAATTCAATTTGTGATTTAATTTTCTTATTGTATTATTTAATAGAAACTTTTGAGTTTTAGATTTAGTTGGAATTTTATCTTGTAAATAAATTTAAATTGTGTTGTCTACTTTATATCATTTCATTGTGATTTCAAATTTTGAGCTCGATTTAATTTTCGAATATATAATGGATGTATAAACTTCACTGACCAGTTTTTTTATGGACTTCGATTCGACACATTCCGGTCCCATAGCTTGATTCTTTATTTCACATGAGATGTTCATGTTATTTCTCTGTTATCCTGTTTATCTGTTTGTTGGAGTTTTTCATGTGATGTAGGGAATCTTATACCGTGAGCGTCATCCACGATTTCTTTCTTCCGTGATTTATTTTCACGCGTTGCACTTCTCGCTTGTGGTTCATTGCGCTTTATTCTTTGCTGGGAGTATTATCTTACATCTGGTTTTTTTGATGTTGTCGGCTTGTGATTTATTTTCACCTAAGGTTTGATATACTCTTAGCTTATTTATCCGTCTGTGGTTTTAACTCCAAGGGGAAGAATTAAATTTGTTGACTTCATGTCATTGAACATATCTCTTACGATCATGCGAATACCCTCATTCATTTTTTTGTTTGGTTACTATTTTGCTAAACTCAAGATAATTTTCCCAAAAGACCCCATTTTCAAACTCACACCTTTTAAGTCAAAACTTCGACACTAGGTCGTCGTATCTTCAAAAATCTCGTCCATACCCATCTTTTAGCCAAACGAATCATTTTAATCAAACAAACAATTTTAACCAAAAACAGATATTTCAAAAGGTTCCTGCGGAGTACCGCAGATGCATTGGGTGCTAATACCTTCCCACTGTATAACCAACCCCCGAACTCTCGATCTCTTTTCAAAACGCATTGTATTTTCATTACTTTTAAGTATTATTATACATTGCATATTTTAGGGTTTTATTTCGCTCTTTTCCCTTTTCCCTTGGAAACAATAAAGCGCGGTGGCGACTCTTGCTTTCGCGAGTCAAGTTAATTAATAGCTTGATCTCCGATTTTCACCGCTACAGAATTGGCGACTCTGCTGGGGATTGATTGACCTCTTGCTGGTCCATCCCTAAGTGGGTTAAGCCTAATTTGTTTTATCTGTTTTATCATTATTTGATTGTTTGATTATATGTATATATTATGATTATTTGGGTGTTGATAATATTTACAAAGGACAAGTCCTATTCCCGGACTAAGTTACACTTAGGAATAGGACGGGCGGTATAGTCATGTTAACTTTGAGGGAGTAATCCCGAAGAAGGAGGCATGAGATCCCCCACTCAGTGGAAGGCCCTTTTGAACATAATATTTGTTTACCGAGTAATCGGGAAGACATTATTATTTTCGACCTGGGAGCCAGAGAAGCTGGGAACCATAGAACCCTAACCCATCTTGGCCTTTTAGGTGTAGCACGGAGATTATAACGGAGTAATCCGGAAGTAATTATTACGCGATGCTACGCTCGGATGAGTTTCTCTTGAGAATATTGCTGATTATTGAGTAATCAAGACGTTGGTAATATCCGAAGGAAGAATGTAGACTCCGGGAACTCTTAGAACCTTGTTCTACAGGTGTGATTAAACCGTTAGTACATACCTTGGGGGTGTTCCTTACCTTGACTCCATGCTCGTGACGTTGAACCTTTCGACTTTATTTGTGACCTTGCTTGTGGTTGTTGCATAGCCATGCATTCATGCATCCATAAAACCCTTTTCACTTGACTTTGAAGGAGTTTGGAGGTCTTTCTTTGTAAACATCACAAGTTTCGTCAAGCTCAATGGATCTTGGGTGTTGATATGGTGAAAACCCTAATCCACCAAAATGGATGATTGATCTTGATGATAACTTGATCAATGTTTTGGAGCCAATTTAAAATTCATCTTCTATCTTCATACTTTGATGTTTACAACTTAATATCTTGAGTTCCTTGAAAGTCAGATAAAAACTCTCTTTTGCATATCATGCATCATTCTACATTTTTTGTTTCACTTTCAAAGGTCTTTTTCCAAGTCTTATTTTTCCTTTGGTCTCACCAGTACAACACTCGCGCTAAGAGTGGAGAATATCAAGCAAGAGGTTTCTGAACTCCGTAGAGAGATGACTATTTTGAAAGCTAGTATGGAGCACTTAACTGGTTTGGTTGAAATTTTGGTTGCCTCCCAAGTTAATCCTTCTAGGAGGATAGAAGCGATGATAAAAGTCTTCACTGAAACTCTAAAATCATTCATTCATGAGAAGATGATAATTAATGCGCCTAGTGACTTTCCTGACAAGGTGAATGTGGGAGTGCGTCTAGAAGAAGATGTCTGAAAGGGATGTTTATATGAATATGGTAGCTCAGCTAATGGTGTGAAGAAGTTTGATAATAACTTTTCCAAGAAGAGAACCAGAGGAAGAAATAATCATCGTCAGAATTATCATGTTTCTCCTTTTCATCAATAGAATCAACAAGTTCCTAATTGGAGGAAAACCCAGTTTGATCCAATTCCAATTACCTATACAGATTTGTTCCCTATCCTGATGCAGAGGAATTTGGTTCAGACCCGACCTCCACCGAAGGTTCCTGAGAAGATACTTTGGTACTACAAAGCTGATTTGGCTTGTACTTTTCATCAAGGTGCTCCTGGGCATGACTTGGAGGGTTGCTTTGCTTTGAAGATCGAGGTTCAGAAGTTGGTCAGAAGTGGTATCTTGTCATTCAAGGACGTTGGTTTTGAAGTTCAAATCAAGCATGTGCCGAAGAGTAAACACGATTGATGGTCACTTTGAGTTTTGAAAGATGTTTTCGGTGATTCAAGTCCAGATGGAAAGCCTTCCCAGATTATTAACTTATTTCTGCTTTTTGTAATTTTTCTTGTTTATCAAAACATTGTTTGCATGTAAGAACTTGTTTGCATCTGTATGATTATCTTAATACAATGAGTATGTTTGTCTTGAAGAAATTCATTCGTTTCACTCATATTTGTTTTCAAATTTTAAATTTCTTTTGGCATTATGATACCAACTTGTTGCCCAGTCTCTTGCCTAGGCAGAGATTGAAGGGAGGATGATGATCTAAAGAACACAAAATCTCTGGTTACATGCTTTTGGATAAAATCTTGCTGATGATGTACAGGCATTGTTTCAAATCCCTAAACACCGGAGATATAAGGAAGACAATCCATTGCTAACCCCTTTTGAGCCTTGAAGTAGAATTTTCTTTTCTATACGAAAAAACCTTGAATTTTAACCTGGGGCAGGGGAGTTTTTAGTTAATCTGACTGAGTGTTCAAAATTCATAAGGAAGATGTTTTTTGAAGAGAAACTACGAGGGCTATCCTTCATGTATAATGAAGCCAGAAGATGTGGAATCATAATGTTATCCCTCATTCATCAAGAAATGAGGCAATCATAATCCTCTCAACAAGCAAAGACAAGCTAATGTCACACATTTTGTTCAAAAAGTCAAAAATCGAGAAAACGAAAAAGCCTGCTAAGTCAAAAAAACATGAAAACGTGTGACTTAGGCAAGATTAAGGCATCCCGCTGGACTATCAATTCAAAAGAATTAGTTCAGGCAAAAGTTAGGGAAAATAAAAATTGCAAAGAAAAGGACTGCAAAGAAAAGTCCTCAGCAAAGAACAAGTTGGTGACTACAAACACGAAGACATGAGGGTGGTTTCTACTCCGAAAGCCTCGTTGTTTCCTTGACCGTCACAAAATCCTTTTGATAGATGAACACTCATGTTGAATTAACTGAACATAGGGTTGGAGAACATCATGAAGAATGGGTGGGCACCAAATATTTTGAGCCTTAAAATCTTTTTTCTAAAAACCATGAACCAGGCCACGTTACAACCTTCAAAAGTCCTAATTGAAGCAAGGTTATTTTGAAAGCATACTTCAATGAGATAGTGTTCCTGACTCCCATGAATGTTCTAAATAGTTATGTTGGTATCATATGTTTTTCCTATACAAAAATAAATGGTGCTCTAACTCGCAAAATTTGTGCGATATCTTTCAAAATCTTCAAGACTTACATAACTGTTGCATTAGAATTTTCATTCTCATTGTAAACTTTTTCTAACTGCAAAACATTTGTTTGATATCAAGGAAGCTCACATAAGCACCAGTGATGAGTTTATTCT